TTCTTGCGAGAGATCCAGTGTTTTCGAACCGTTTCCTGGCCAACCCTAGCCATGGCATGACCTCACATTGGTATATTTCTCTTCCTGTCCTCTTAATCTTCATTTTGGTAGGAAAAGTGTGAAAAATAGTTGAGAAATTAAGCTATTCCAACCTCGTTTTGTTATCCAGCGAGATTTCTAGAATCCGGTGGTTATAGCGTTAACCGGTCGAAGAAAAAGAAGAGAGAAAAAAGAAAAAAAAGGGCTTTAGGCCCAAAAACCAAGTCCAAAATCCTTGGCCCAAATCTTTAGCTTAACCGGCCCAATCCTTTGGGCCATGATTCCAGCTGACCCAGTTCTGAAATGGGTATAGAATATTCTTTGGAATATTTTTGTGTTGACTTTTTCAGAATTTTCTCGGAAACCCTCCTAGGCTAATTTCGACATCCTAAGTCCGTTTTTGACATCCATTTAGTGAAATTCTAAAGTTTTAACATAGTTGAACGCCAGGGCGTCTCGGTTGACTTTTTTTAGGGTTGATCGTTGACTTTTTACAAAATTTTCCGGAGACCCTCTTTAGTATATTTCATCGCCCTGATTCCAAATCCACACTCCATTTCCCCAATTTAATTGTCTTAGTGGAGTTTACTAATGGGTCCCAATATTATGCTTAAGTGCAATTATTATCGGAGACTCCAACTTTCTAGCTTGAACGGATGTGACACCACAAGTAACTGTGAGTGAGTCTTTGCTTTTAAATAGTATATATTTATTTAGTTTCCATTTATACATTGAAAAAGAATTTCCTACACATGCCTATGGTTAGACTAATGTTGATAAGAATTAGCGAAATGATGAATTTTACGAAATTATTCCAAATCCTGGAAGATGCACATGTATGTGTACTATTATGGAATGCCTTAATTAAATTTACGGCTATGATGAATGTTATGTTGACTAGAATTATCGAATCATTGTGGCATGACTATATTTATGTTATCTGCTCATTGTTTGATGCATCAGTGTTAGTACTTGCCCGGACCAGGGCCAATATTTCACATGTATGTGCACATCACACCCTATGCTCACTTTGGATCCATTGTAGGTGCCAGTCCTGTTCTAGATTGCTATAGGCAATTAGAACTCATATGTGCTGTGCATAGCGCCAGTCTTCATATGATTGTAGTACTAGAGCGTATATCATTGTTACACTCAATCTTGTTCATGTCAGAATACCTTTGCATGAATTCGTGTGTTAGCATGTGTCGATAAGCACTCAATATGATGTGTTTGCTTATGCGAGATTATGTGATTACAGACTTCATGTGCTTACTCATGTCAGAATACCTTTGCATGAACTCGTGTGTTAGCATGTGTCGATAAGCACTCAATATGATGTGTTTGCTTATGCGAGATTATGTGATTACAGACTTCATGTGCTTACTTATGAAATATCGTGCCATATTAAATTCTTGAGATTTTGTAGGCTTCAGTAAGTACTTTCTTACTATATGTAGTATGTATATTTTGGAAACTATACTTGTTTTACGGCGAGGAGTTATTATGTTTTCAGAAAGGTTTTTACAAAGCTTTATTTTAGGCCCACTCACCCTTGTTTTTCGCCCCTCCAGGTTTTAGTAGCTGAGCTTTCATATCTACGAGGATTCTTGGCAATCTAGGCATTGATGATTACCACCGATGGTATAACTCTCAATCTACTATATTGTACTTTACTTATGCTCTGATATCACGTGTGAAATGAGTTCATTCCCACTCACTAGCGCACTCTTATACTTAGGCACATTTTAGGTTTAAATTTATTCAAATTTTCCACATCACTACACTTTATGGCTTCGTCACCCTCCTGGTGTCATCCAACATAGCTCGATTCGGAGTCCAGGTGGACATATCGGGTCAAGGTGTGTTAGCATAAACCTGCCTAGGCGCCTGCCTAGGTCAAGACTCTTATATAGACAGAAAATAAATAACTTTCACTTTGCATTTTATTTTTTTCAATAAATAGTAAGAGACTTTTTTATACTTTTTTTTAAAGGAAAGACGATATCATTAACTTGGAAAAGTTACATTGTTTCTTGATGAGAAGATCCAGAATAACACTCGGAGGCTTCTCAATCCAAACTAAACGTGTCCCGCTTGACACTGCTATTGCCAAACAATGGGCAATACCATTATTATTCCTATCAATGTAAATATACTTTGAAGTAGTAAACGAAGTTGCACTATATAAAACATCCCCCGCTAGCAAATCCATAGCCGAAGCCCGATCCACACAAGTATTGATAATGGAAATTGCTTGGGAAGAGTCATTTTTGACTTAAACCTTTTGATAGCCAAGTTGTTGAGCCAACTCCACTCCATGCTTAATCGCTAGCAACTTAGCTTGGAGAGTCGAGGAAACAATGGGAAGAAAGCATGTCGTTGCTGCCATAAAAACTCCTTGCACGTCACGGATTACCACACCATCCCCACCCACCTGAACATGCAATTTAGTAGCTCTGTCCACATTCACTCTCACCTAATTCTCCGCCAGCACCCCAGGCATCGAACCACTTCCTCCCCCTGTCGAGTATGAAGCTTCTGTTGCTGAGCAGTAAGTACAATATCTGCCATAGCCTAGAATTCCTATAACCATGCCACGGCGCGTTGCCCCACAACCCCTGGGGCCTCTTGCTTCCCACTCCAAATTCGATCATTCCTCACCTACCAAAGATGTCAGACCACCATACAAATGAAGTTGAAATCAAAATGATTAGTTTGTAACAACAATAAAAACCATTCCTTGACCGATCTGCAAGGGACATAATCAACCAGAAAGCTACATGGGGTTGCAAACCATGTAGCTCTAGCAAAATGACACTCTTTGAGAACATGCACCACCATCTTCGGTGCTCAATTACAGAAAACGCACGTCAAATCCCATGTTACTCCTTTCTTAGACAATTTTTTTTTGTTGGGAGAATATTCTGACAAGTCCTCCACACCATATTCTGCACTTTCGGCGAAACTTTGGCCTTCCATATAGCTTTCCATAAAGGAGTAAACAGATTACCTCCAGAAGCTGAAGAAGACGCACTTAGTGACGGTGGTTTAATAGAATCCTATGCAACCCAATAAGCACTTTTGACTGTGAAAATACCCCGGTCATTATAATGCCAAATTAGTTTATCAGATGGAAGCTGATAACTAATGGGCAAAGAATGAATATTCTCCCTGTCTTCTTCCTCAAAAAACTCAGTCAACTTAGTGTCACACCATGCTTTCCTTTCTACATCAATGAGCTCATGAACCTTCATATCCTCCCGAGATGGAGGCGGCATCATAATGGGACGAAAGGTCAAGGGTCGCAACACCCACCTATCCCTCCATACCAGCATCAAAGCCCCATCCCCAATTAGCCATCTCGAACCCTTCTCCAACACCATTCTAGCTTTGAGTATGCTAGACCAACAATAAGAAGAAGATGAGGGAACCAGGGTGTCCCAAAAGGAAGTATTGGGGAAATACTTAGCCTTAAATAGCCTTGCCATTAAGGACTCTGGATATTGGACAATTTGCCAACCTTGTTTTGCCAGTGCCGCCAAATTAAAGGCATAAAGGTTCTGGAACCCCATACCACCTTTCGGTTTAGCAATGCACAACTTATTATCCCATGATTTTTAATGACCACTTATTATATTCTTGTTCCTCATGTTTTCAATATGTTCTAGTAATTATATATTGTTTTAAAATATAAGTAGACATTTATTTATATGATATATAATAAATTGAAATAGAATTAAAAAAAACCACCTAGACCCCTAGGTGTGGGGCCCTCGCGCGCTACCTCATTATTGCCTAGTAACTTTTAGAAACTTGCCTATAAACGATAATATTTTTTAACCTCAGGTAAATATCCCATAAAATATGTAGTCTTTGATACTAATAAATACCTATACACAAGTAGGAGCCTATTGTGCGTGAAGTTAAGAAAAAAGGGCCTTCAGAAGAAACCCTAGTCGCCGATCTCTTGCCTTGATTTTGGTATCGGCAACAATCCTATTTTAAATCTATTTTTTGTTGCTAGTTGTGATCATTCTCTCACTTTGTTGATGGTAGTCTATGTAGTTAGGATCGCTCCCTCACTTTGTCAAGGAGATGTTTTATGAGTACGGTTGTGGTCCTGAGTTTCTGTTCAACCTCATGCCCTAGACCGACATCTGTTGTATACACAAATCGCACTAACACTATCAAAATTTTGCCGAATTTTTTAATGAAGTTGGCAACATATTCGTACTAAGGCTAATTGATCCCCAACAAGTGGTTTGTTAGGTTGTGCAGCTCCAACATTTATTGAAAGTAGGCCATTTGATCTCAATCGAAACATATTATATATAAGTTTGTTGCCACAATACTAGTTCCAAAACGATCTGAACCAGGTATGAACCATCCACTTAATTACGGTCACATTTTTTTAGTTACCGCTTGTTAGATACTCTACAAAAAAATTACTAAAAGTCCAATAAGTTCGTTTTAAAAAATGGATTTTACAACTTATAAGCATTTCTAAGTAGTTGAAAGTTGTGGATTAACAACCGTCATCAAGGTCTTTCTCTTCAACCAACGTACTTCACCCCCAAGCTCAAACCCTTCCCATTTCCTTTAGTCTATATTAGATTAGTGATATCGTTTGTAATTGTTTTCTTAAACATTTATCAGAAGTGCTTTTATCTCTGTTAAAAGTTGTGTCAAATGACTTTTTTTTTTAATGCCAAAAAGCTCGAGTCGCTAAAAAATAAACCCTTGCCATACAACTCTGCCTTTGACGGTATACTTCTTTGGTCTACCTAACATCACCCTACAAAAAATATCCTTTTGACACCCTGCAGGAATTATCATTATTCACCATTACTTGGTCTTCATTTTTCCTCCTTTCCGTTGTTTGCTCAAAACGCACCCTACCGAATTATCATTAATCCGCAAATGATTCCTTACTTTTTTCACGTTGTTTTTTTGGACAGATTCTAGAACTGGGACAGGACATTCCCATTGACTTTCACAATGGTAGTACTTACTGGTTCTCCACCAACGTTGTTGTTGCCAACGAAACTACTGACCTTTCCGTCGAAAACCAAATCAACATTATGCTGGGAAGGAACAAACAATGGCTCACATACTAATCAAAGTAACCCTAATTCCACACCTACTGCTAAGGTTCATGCCAAGGTCTTTCCCAAAGGCAATGTTATCGTTGCCTCCACAGAAGACGATGACAAAACTGACGCACCAGCTGCCCCTACTAAGAAAATGCCACAACATCCGAACATGATATCAGCAAAGTACGATGGAGTTTATGACATGTTTCGTGGACGATTGGACGAGAGTGGTTTTGTTTTCCAAAAAAACTTTGCAATTAGATCGTATGAGTTAGGTCCTGATGGCAAAGCAACCATGACTTGCTTGATGGAGCGTTTACAGGTTTTTGATTTCTTATCTTTGTCAAGAGAGAGCATATACAGGTATACTGTCACCTTGAAGTAAACTAATGCTTAACTGTGATGTTCTTCTTGTCTTTTGTATGTCTAATAGGAAACATCAGTTCAGCACTGCAGGAGTATTGGGCTCCTTGTTGGTGGTTTTGGTTCATCACTAGAGATGAGCAAAAGGGGCCAAGTGTGGGTGGTCCGGAAGTTACAGGCTATAGTGGATAAATATCCTTCTTGGTAAACCAATATACTAAAACCCATTAAATTTTGATACATATATTATTGTGCAGCTTTACGTCTGCAGGATTTTGGGAAAGTTGAAGGAAATTCGCTGAAATAATGAATTCACAAATTCCATTGTTTTGATCAATATGTCGTAGCTGATGTTATTCAAGTAGATAGCTGGAGTGGGACATCAGGGAACAATGGTATGTTCCGGGATTGGATATTTCGTGATTACATAACTGGAGAAATATTAATGCGAGCAACCGGGTTAGAATCCACACTAGCTAAGATTTTCAAATTTCAATACTGTCTTTAATTAGTCCTTTGTTATCCAATATGTTCAGTAATGGTCTTTTGAGCTGCTGGCTGAGTTTTCTTGTTTTTCTCTTTTGGGCAGTGTTGAACAAAAAAAATAATAAACATATGAAAAAATAGAGTCCATACAAATTGGGTCAAACTACAAGGTGTAATCCAAGCCCAAAGGATGAGGATGGGCTTTACCCACAAAAAACATTCAGAAATAAATAAAAAATTTATTTTCTCCTACAAAAGGGGGGAAGTAACGTACACAAAAGCAAAAAAATACAGGTGCTCCCCATTTTCTGCAAACAAAAAGGAACGTGGAGTCAGAAATGGTGGTTAACAGAAAGTGGCAGGAGGTCATGGCCTCTACCTCTCCCCCCACGTAACAAGCTCTAGAACTCTCCTATGATGCCTATAAATAGGCATCACCTGCAACAACAAAAAAAGGGACAGACAGAAAAAAGACAGGGGAAACAAGAGAGGAGACGCTGCAGAAATTGAAAAGCACAGAGAAGACAATAGAGAGGCAAAGCAAGAGAGCAAAGGCACAACAAAGGAAAAGAAAGGAGAAGAAGAAATCAAGATCTACACGCAAGAACAAAGAGCAGGAGAAACTACACGGCATTTGAAGGTATAAGCCGTTTCATTCTTTTTTAATTTTTTTTCTGGGTTGGTTCTCTTCTTTGCTTTGTAGGAAGAAAAGAAGCACTTTGCTTCTTCAAACTGTCCCATTCCCCAGAGCAAAAAAAATGAAGGTAGAGACTCTAAATAAGCAACCCCAGATCCTTTCTCTCGCTCTCTCTGGTTATTCACCGAGACCTATGAAGAAAACTTGGGAAATTTCTCTTCCCTGCTCAACCGATGGCAGCAGGTGTTGATGCAGCAACCAAACCGCAACACCACCGCTCTTCAACCGTTGTCTTCAGCCGTCCTTCGGAAGAAGCCCAAGGGCCCCGAGGACGGTGAACCAAGCAATCATCCAAACCGCAACACCACCGCTCTTCAAGCGTTGTTTCCGGCAGTCATTCGGAAAAAGCCCAAGGGCAGTGCTATCCGCACTCCGAGTAGACAAAAACGTGCAGTCCTGGTTCGTAAAAAGTAACCAAGGGACAACTTCAAAAGTTCTGGACACCAAGTCACGGATGATGGTTATAAGATAGTGGACAGACATAATGTTTCCATCGCTTCGTCATCAACACCCTTCAACTGATGCCCTCCAAAATCAGATTGTCACGGTCTCTCCCGGTAATTGTAACAGCTTGGCGTGGAAGAATAAGAAGTGATCCCTGCCTATTAAAGAGAAACTGAAGATGCTTGGAGAGTTTTCATCAAATTCAAACAAAGGAAAATGGTGCAGCAAAAGCAAAGTAGAACACCTGCAAAGCAAATCACGTAGAATTCCCACTTGCAAGTCATTTTCAAAGAAAGTAACAATAAGCTTCAAGTATGGAGGAATAAGGTTGCAGAGAAGAAAGACAACAACGAACCCGTCTCCATTATTTGTGTCACCTCAGTTCACTTGCCACTGAAACTCTACAAAGGAGCAACCCGACCGCCGCCGTCATTGTCTTGAAGTCAAGGAAAAATTGTAAGGGAAGGATGTACTGCCGACATAGAACACCAAAAAAAATTGTGCGGGCTGCTGTTTAAGTTATTAGGAAAAGAAGACGATGTAGATGCTATCTGTGTTCACAGAAGATTGAGTTAGAAGACAAAGCATCCAGCAAGGAAGAGAAAAGGTGGAGTGCTACTACGGATAAAATACTCCCCAAATAAAATAGAAATGTTGCTCCACATGGAGATTAAATGCAAAGGAAGAAAATCAATGGCTTTTCCATTTGTTTTATTCATATAGGAGTTTATTAATTTTTGGCTCTGAGAACAAGAAGTATGGAGACTGTCCTCAAAAACCCGTCCTTCATGAGATCACCAAATATGCATAAACTTGTCGGCAAAAGTTGAACATGACTCAGAATTTGACACGTTGCTGCTGCTCCATTCTTCGAAGACGTTCCAGGAAAAAGAGGAACAAAGAAATAGTCATGTTCATCACGTGAGAGTCTACTCACATAAAGAAAAAGTAAGGTCGATTGAAATTAGAAGTCCCATTGGAACTTGGAGACCTTTAAAAGACAAATAAAGAAAAGTGTGAAGCTTGCTGTCAGAAAACTTGGGTCAAATTGGTTCAGAGTCCCATGCTTAAATGAAGATGATATATATATATATATATATATATATATATATATATATATATATAAAAGAAGGGGAAATGGATGCCAAAGAAACATGCACCCCACGTGAAGAAGAAGAGTAAAGCTTTAAAGTCACATAGAAAAAAAGGAGGAGTAAAGATTGTTGTCAGGCTTGAAAATCCCAAGTGGGTTCAAAGATCCATGGGTTGAAAAATTCAAAAGAAAAGTACATAAAAAAAAGGGCAAAAAATAAGAAGTTGGCTGTGAACAAAATTCTCAAATTAATTGAGAATGTTGCTTGCGTGAGACCTTCAAAGAAAAGGCACCAGACCAATTTATGTTGATCAACTTTTCCCAAACCATGTGGGATGAATCTCACCACACGAAAATTCTTAAAATGCCCATCACTAAATCAATCGGCATGATCACTTATTTGTACCCAATTACAAGCATACGAAAAGAAGGAAGGTGTAGGCAAAAATGGTATGGAAAATTAAAATCCCACCATGGAAAACGGCTCTATAAAAAGAGAGGTTCAATATGTTGACCCAAACTCACTTGTACAAGTTTGATTGATTATTCATCAAGAATGTCCATCAAATTTTATTTAACGGCACAAAGCCGCTCCAAAATTCAAGTATACAAAAGGCATGAAGCCAAAGAAAAAGTCAAATATCAAATGGCATGAAGCCGCAACAGAATCTCAAAATGGCACGAAGCCGTATCAAGTATCAAATGGCACAAAGCCGCGATGAGTCTCAAAATTTATGAACTACGCTGGTTTGATTCCGTTAAGGATACGTAGGCAGTCTGGTATCAATTTTCAGACACAACCATGATATCAAGTTTTTTATGAACTACGCTGGTTTGATTCCGTTAAGGATACGTAGGCAGTCTGGTATCAATTTTCAGACACAACCATGATATCAAGTTTTTTATGAACTACGCTGGTTTGATTCCGTTAAGGATACGTAGGCAGTTTGATATCAATTTTCAGACACAACCATGAAATCAAGATTATGAATTACGCTGGTTTGATTCCGTTAAGGATACGTAGGCAGTGTGATATCAATTTTCAGACACAACCATGAAATCAAGAATATGAACTACGCCGGTTTGATTCCGTTAAGGATACGTAGGCAGTCTGATATCAAGTTTTAGACACAACCGTGAAACCGAAACGAATCCCTGGTTTATATAAACTAAATTCACTCATACTATCAAATACCAAAATAGCACGAAGCCAAAGAAAAGTTTCAAAGGGCACAAAGCTGTGTCAAATCTCGAGTGGCACGAAGCCGAAGAAAAATCTCAAATGGCATGAAGCCGAATCAAATGCTCCAAATCTTCGCCTGCATGAGCTAAAACTGCAAGGCATCAGTTGCTCCTCGCCCGCATGAGCTGAAACTGCATAAGGCACTATGCTCCTTGCCCGCATGAGCTAAAACTGCACAAGGCATCAAATCCAAAACAAGTACCAAATACATGAACTACGAGTGACTTGATCCCTCAAGAGGGTACGTAGGCAATCTAGGATTCAACCTAGGTACAGTTATAAAATCAAACAAATACCAAAATCCTCAAGTTACATTTTTATTCGAATTGGAATCAAAGGGTATTTCTTTCCCAAAAGAAAGATTGTAATTAATAGGCGTGTAGCCTAGAATGGGTCGAACTCAAATTAATAAAACCCTCTTCGGAAAACTGAATGAGGGTGAAATTGTGTCGAGTGAATTATTTGTTTACATATTATGTACAATTTTTGCTCAACAGGCAGTCTTTATGTGCTGATGAACATAAAGACAAGGAAAGTTGGTAGACTTACTGAAGAGATCAAACAAGAGTTTAAACCTTATTTCGTGGATTCCGATCCTCTCATTGACATCAATAGCACCAAACTAGGACGATTGAACGTTGATGGTAGAGATTATGTTCAAACAGGTTTAGCAGTAAGTATCTTATGCATATATATGATATGGAGAGGGTGAAATATTATTTGCTTATTCCTGAAGCAATTAACTGACATATGCTGGTCTTCTTCAAATTGCATTGCGGCCGCCTCGTTGGCGCGATTTAGATATCAATCAGCATGTGAGCCATGCAAAATACATAGACTGGGTTCTGGAGGTGAAGCTTTTTGCAAGGCTGCTTCCTCAACAACAACAACAACAACAACAAAGCCTTTTCCCACTAAGTGGGGTCGGCTATATGAATCCTAGAACGACATTGCGCTCGGTTTTGTGTCATGTCCTCCGTTAGATCCAAGTACTCTAAGTCTTTTCTTAGAGTCTCTTCCAAAGTTTTCCTAGGTCTTCCTCTACCCCTTTGGCCCTGAACCTCTGTCCCGTAGTCACATCTTCGAACCGGAGCGTCAGTCGGCCTTCTTTGCACATGTCCAAATCATCGGAGCCGATTTTCTCTCATCTTTCCTACAATTTCGGCTACTCCTACTTTACCTCGGATATCCTCATTCCCAATCTTATCCTTTCTCGTGTGCCCACACATCCCACGAAGCATCCTCATCTCCGCTACACCCATTTTGTGTACGTGTTGATGCTTCACCGCCCAACATTCTGTGCCATACAACATCGCTGGCCTTATTGCCGTCCTATAAAATTTTCCCTTGAGCTTCAGTGGCCTACGACGGTCACACAACACGCCGGATGCACTCTTACACTTCATCCATCCAGCTCGTATTCTATGGTTGAGATCTCCATCTAATTCTCCGTTCTCTTGCAAGATAGATCCTAGGTAGCGAAAACGGTCGCTTTTTGTGATCTTCGCTAGATTGCTCCGGTCATTAGTGTGGATAAGTATATAAATGGATAGAGATAGGAAAGCAAACACAAGATGTACGTGGTTCACCCAGATTGGCTACGTCCACGGAATAGAAGAGTTCTCATTAATTGTGAAGGGTTTACACAAGTACATAGGTTCAAGCTCTCCTTTAGTGAGTACAAGTGAATGATTTAGTACAAATGACATTAGGAAATATTGTGGGAGAATGATCTCGTAATCACGAAACTTCTAAGTATCGGAGTGTGGTGTCGTCTTGACTTGCCTTATCTGTCTCATAGGTAGATGTGGCATCTTCTCTGGAAGTACTCTTCCTCCATCCAGGGGTGGTATCTTTAACTGGTGGAGATGCACAAGGTAATGTATCAATTTCACTTGAAGCTTACTTGTAGTTTCAGGCTTGGTCAAGCGCGATACAAACCATGTAGTAGGAGTCCCCCAAGTCGCCGAGCTAGGGGGTCTGCTGAAAGAGGTGACAGACAAGGTAAGCAATCAGAGCTCCGACTGATTGTTCACCTTCTCCCCATCTTGCAGCAGCATGAAGGATAAAGAGAAGAAAAATGAGAAGAGATGATATGAGATACTTTTGCTTTTGAAGAAGTAACTTTCCACAGGCTTATTCTTGAACTGAGCTGGAGGGTTTTCTGGTTTCCTCCAGAGTATAAGGCCGACTGAAGAATTTGAGGGTCAAAACAAGTCCATCAAATCTAGAGTACGTTCCACCCTGCTGATATGGGATACTTTTGCTTTTGACAGAGTAATGGATGTATCGGCACGTGTGCTGTTACGCTTGTCTCCACATGCTTCCTTGTATCCTTCGCACTTGCCCTATCTGTTCCTCAAGCAGATGCGGAATCTTCCCTGGAAACATAAGATGTTGAAGATGAGTACTCGAGAGCAATGCCAGGTAAGTAATCAGGTAAGGGGTTCCAGGCAGTCAGTTCCTGGCTGGAAGCTTGATTCCAAGTGCTGACTGATTGCTCTCTTTCTCCTTGTCTTGCAGGTAAAAACAAGGCCAAAGGAAAAGACAGGGAAAAAGCATGATATGGGATACTCTTGCTTTTAACCCTGATGATATGAGATATTCTTGCTCTAGTATAGCTTGTTTGCAGAGGTATTATCGGGGGGAAAGAAAGCTGAATATTTCGAAAGGCTTCGTTGGGAGTGCCCTCTCAGATATGATGAAGGGTTGAGCATTTTTGCAGGTCTGCCTGTCCGTTGGGGATGGAGGTCGACATATATAGGAGTCTCCCTAACAACAAGTAGTAATGCTATTCCTTTACCCTGCTTGGTCATAGCACGGTAGTGGGAGCTGCCAGTTTCACATGTTTTAACTCTGTCAGAGCACTTTGAAAAAGTGGTCTGTGGTATCTGGCTCTCGAGATTCGGAGAACGATGCCTCTTCGATTTTTGAGAAAGCAATCATGCTGGGGGTCTGGCTCTCGAGATTCGGAGAGCAGTGTCTCTTCGATTTTTGAGGAAGTAATCATGTTGGGAGTCTGGCTCTCGAGATTCGGAGGGCGGTGCCTCTTCGATTTTGGAGCAAGCAATCTTGTTGGGAGTGTTGTCTCGAATGTGAGTAAAGGTTGGGCATGTTTGCTAGTCTACCTTGCCACGAAGCACAAAGGTTGACACACAGGGACTTTCCAATTATCCAGCAATGGTACTGTTCCTTTACCCTCTCTTCGATTTTGAGAAAGTAGTCATGTTGGGAGTCTGGCTCTCGAGATTCGGAGGACGGTGCCTCTTCGATTTTGGAGCAAGCAATCTTGTTGGGAGTGTTTTCTCGAATGTGAGTAAAGGTTGGGCATGTTTGCTAGTCTACCTTGCCACGAAGCACAGAGGTTGACACACAGGGACTTTCCAATTATCCAGCAGTGGTACTGTTCCTTTACCCTTGTGGGTAATAATATGGTAGCTAGACCTTCAAAATTTATGTGTCTAAACTTTGTTAGTGCTGTTTCTTTGCTATTCTTTTACCTTTCTTGGTCAGAGCGATGTAGTGGGAGCTGCAAGCTTCACGTGCTCAACTTTGGCAGAGAACTTTGGCAAAGTTATCTGTGGTACCCATGAGCTATTGTTGCGTGTGGGAAGTGGGTGATTGAACAGTAAGATTCATGTGCTTTCTACTTCACCAGAAGTCTTCGACAGAATGCCCA